TACTGCCCCGCTACTGGGTCGCTACTGGGTCGCTACTGCCCCGCTACTGGGTCGCTACTGGGTCGCAACCCGTCTCCTGAGTAACTAGTCCAGTTGCTAGGGGGGGGTCATAACACGTCGTTTGGCTGCCATAGGGGTAGGGATGTACGTGTGGATTCATAATTTTACATATACACGTCGCCTAGCAGCAGCTACATGCATACGAAATTCCCAAGTCCTGCTATGTAACAACATTAAGCCATATGCATTGCCTGCTTCAGCTGAAGCAGCTGCTGCAGCTGCAGCTTCCAAACAATCTGCAGCTTCCAAACAGCACCAAACATTTCCACAACAGCGGCTGCTGCAGCTGCAGCTGCAGCTCATCGATCTGTCAACAATTTGCCTCAAAACATGCTACATTATAGCTCAGAAGCGCTCTATCCACCCTTACACTTTCTGGTATTCATGCCTAGAAGAAGTCCTCCATCACCGTCAGTTAACACTCCAAGACAAGTCTGTACAGTGACTGTACAGTGCAGCAGCGCTGCTGCTAGCAGTAGCTTCTCCACAAGCGGCTTGTGAGCCTGTATGCAGCAGCTGCTGCAGCAGAAGCTTCGAAACAGCTCCAAACAGTTTCATATTGGGTGCACCCAGCTGCAGCTCATCCATCTCTCAACAAAATTTGCCTCGAAACATGCTACATCATAGGTCACATGCACTATCCACCCTAACACCTTCTGGTAGTCATGCCTAGTATTAGTCCTCTATCGCCGTTAGTTAACACTACAAGACATTGCTGCAGCAGCAGTCCTCCACAAGCAGCTTGTGAGCCTGTATGCAGCAAAGATCAGGCATGGGCATACAGTAGCACCCTTGTCAGACCATCATGAACTGCAATGACTGTGATGTGGAACTTAGAATGCAGTTTTTTGCCACACACACCTTACTACTGCTTTAATCTTCCACTGACTCTGCGTGCTGTGTGTGGTGGGGAAAGCATGTGGTGTTGTCCACAGCAGCTGCAGGTTGCTGGGTGGGCCCTGTAGACAGACAAACATGCCCATCAGAAGTTAAATACACCAAACCCTGTATAGGAGACTCCATACAGAATATATGCAGCAAGAGGTAATTTGACACAAAATCCAAAGAAACTGCAGTTGCCCTTGTTTGCTTGCACATGAATGACAATTATCCCCCCTCAAAATCAGGGGATCCCCAACCATCTGTCAATCTCAGAGTGATGGACGCAACTGTGTAGATACCTGTAGTCACAGCTATCACCTCCCAAGCAGAAAAAGCATGCCCGGGAACCGAACTCAGGTCGGAACTAGGATGCTAGCCTATACCAACCCGTTTTATCATAACTTCCCCAGAGAACATCTCACCAATCCCAAGTCTTGACGTCACCCGCATCATGGACGTCACCCGCATCACGGACGTCATCCGCATCACGGACGTCACCCGCATCACGACGTCACCCGCACCACGGACGTCACCCGCATCACGGACGTCACCCGCATCACGGACGTCACCTACACCACGGACGTCACCCGCACCACGGACGTCACCCGCACCACGGACGTCACCCGCATCATGGACGTCACCCACATCACGGACGTCACCCTGCATCACGGACGTCACCCGCACCACCAACATCACCCTCATCACGGACGTCACCCGCACCACGGACGTCACCCACATCACCGACGTCACCCGCACCAAGGACGTCACCCTGCATCACGGATGTCACCCTCATCACGGACGTCACCTGCATCACGGACGTCGCCCGCATCACGGACGTCACCCGCACCACGGACGTCACCCGCATCATGGACGTCACCCACATCACGGACGTCACCCTGCATCACGGACGTCACCCGCATCATGGACGTCACCCTCATCACGGACGTCACCCGCACCACGGACGTCACCCACATCACCGACGTCACCCGCACCAAGGACGTCACCCTGCATCACGGACGTCACCCTCATCACGGACGTCACCTGCATCACGGACGTCGCCCGCATCACGGACGTCACCCGCACCACGGACATCACCCGCATCATGGACGTCACCCACATCACGGACGTCACCCTGCATCACGGACGTCACCCGCATCATGGACGTCACCCTCATCACGGACGTCACCCGCACCACGGACGTCACCCTGCATCACGGACGTCACCCGCACCACGGACGTCACCCGCATCACGGACGTCACCCGCACCACGGACGTCACCCACATCACCGACGTCACCCACATCACGGATGTCACCCGCACCACGGACATCACCCGCATCATGGACGTCACCCTGCACCACGGACGTCACCCACATCACCGAC